GATAAGATCGTCGCGGTTGACGGTGCACCGTTATCGCCGATGAGTCACGAGGAAGCGGTCCAGCTGCTGCGACAATGCGGACCGACGGTAAAGCTGCGGCTGTACCGCGATCTGGCGCAAACCCCGGTCTCGGCGCTCTCGCCTACTGAACCCGATCACCCTCTCCGTCCGCCTCGAACAAGCTTGAGGTACATCTCAATCCGACAATTGGATCATTCATCGTATCATATTTATACAGAATATGTAATTGACAGTATATATTATAACTGAAAAAAATGACGATTTTAGATTTAAAAAAAAGTAAACCAAAAGTATAAATTGAATTGAAAACTGTTTAATTGAAAATTTACGCAAAAATATTACCAAGACACTTTGGTTAAATATATTTCTTCGCTTATTTGTAATAAATCGAATTTTTCTCTCGCACGAGATTCTGTTCTGAAGAACATTAATTTTGTAAATTATAGGAAATTACTAACGAATAATTGCATTTGCAGAATAGTACAGTCTAAAATTTAAAAATTAAAATATTTGATTATTTTAAGTAAAAAGAGCTATTAAAATACAGTATTGGAGTAAGACGTGCGATAAAAAGAAAATCGATAAAGAACGTCGTCAGTAGGCAGAAATATATAGTAATAATTTCAGACACTGTAAATATTAAGAAAAACTTACAGAGATCTCAGTTTTGTTGCAATTCTTTTACTGTTTGATTCTGTGTATCTATTGACCTATAAAAGAATATTTGATAGCAAATCTGATTTCAATTCTATCTATCGTGGATATTCTTTTATGCTTTCATATCATGTGCAATCCGTTTCTTCAGTAACTAAATCGCATATAGAATTTATACTCTTTCATGCAACAGAAAATATCACTTGATAAAAGATCACAAATGTTTGCATTTTATTATATATAAACCGCTTACATACTAACATGGTCATTTCCGGCTAAAATACGGTGCGTATGATCTTCCATATTAATGAATAGTAGCTCATCATAATCCATGTTATTTTCCAATAACATCAGACAAGAAGCTGTGGATATGCTGTGTGACTTAGCAGTCCGGAAGCTGTCACCTGGTGCGTCGAGTGGATCTAATAGCTGCAAGCAACAATCACCTGGTGCGTCATGCAATTCGCCCCGAAGACTACGTCGACTTGCCACGCGTACTCCCACTGCCGAAACCGATCGAGGTAAATAATTAATTAACAATACAGGCAAAAACAGAGTTATAAGGCAAATTAATAAAGCTAAAAACATACATGTAGGATGCTTAAGTTAAAAAATAATTAAAAGCCATCAATGAGATAATGAAAATATTTCGATAATCGATTCTGTATAAATTTTTCCGAATGTTCCGAAAATGAGAATAATCTGTAAAATATATTCTCTTGAAATTCTCTACGGAAAGATTAGTGAACATCAGTTGTTACTTCAGAAGTTTCCGGTTACGTTAAAATGACGATAGAACATTCAGCGCCGAGCTGTCTCTCGGAATTATCTCGAATCGCGAGGGATTGGGGCAATCCTCGATGATAGGACCCATAGCTAGTTTCTTCGTAACAAAATCTCTTCACGACAAGTGTTCTCCGTGCCGCAGAAATTCCCGAGAGCAAGTTGCACGACGTGCAAACGACGTCGTCGACGGCCAGCCAAGCGGAGACCACGTCAGACTCGGACCAGTGCTCCGTCAGGACGCAAATCACCAATTCCCAGGCGAACACACCTGCGACCGACATAATCGATCCACCGCCGTTCTACGACGTCTGCGACGTCGACGACGAGTCAAAGACAATGTCGAACAATGCGGCCAGGCCTCGCTTTCTCGATTTATCGGCGCCGCAAGGTAAACCGCATTTCCAGTTTTGCAGCGTTGATTCTGACGGCGAATATCCAGGGGATGGCGACGTGATCCTGGCCGAGGCGGAGCGTGGCCGGTTAGCCGAGCCGAGCTACGACGATGATAGAAGCGTGACAGTACTATCGAGCGACGAGCACGACAACGATCTGCCATCCGAGCCGGCTTCAATGCCACCGGTGCTTTCATCTACCAGTAGCACCAGCACCGTCGCCTTCAGCTACAAGAATCCAGCTTACCAGAGCGCCAATCCAGCCTGCGGCAGCGCCGGCAACGATCCAGCTGGAACCAAGAGCAAGGCTACATACTCGAGCGATCAGGACATTCCGGGTAATTATTTCATACTGTTCTTGTTTCATTGCTCGTTTCTACCCATCCGAGAGGCTGATAGATTAATGGAATCAAACCTTGATTGATTAATGGTGTGTCTTGTTGATTCGCTTGCTTCTTACATTCAGTATCTGAATCAACCATCTTATAGCATTAGTGCAATCTTTGTTTAATGCTTATACAAATCTTAGTTGAGTTCGCAATATATAATTAATATGATTACTTGAAATAATTTATTATTTATAATTTATAAACTTATAAACATAAATTATAATTTAAAAATAAGCTCTTCAATGTTAGATAAATTCAAAAATTATAAATGTAAAACCGCTTCAAGTAGTCATATTAATTATACATTGCGAACTCAACTAGAAATTTGTATAAATATTTGTATAAAGCATTAACAAAGATCGCTAAGATGGCTGATTCAGATACTAAACATAAGAAGGAAGCGATTTAACAAGTTTATAAATTATAAATAGACAAACCGCCTCAATGTGTATACCTTTATGAATTTAAGATTTTGTTTTTCTGTTTTTTGTTTATATCTTAAATCCATAGAGGTATATAAAAACTTATTATTATAAATTCGTCAGTATAAGCTTATATTAGCTTCATTTTTATTAATTCAAAACGATTAATACAAAATGGACTTTGTAATTACCGCCGGAATCAATTCTAATCGCGCGAATATCTTATATGCTCTGTCTTACTTTACGCCATACGCTGCTATCATTGAAACCAAATCAGCGCGTTAGAGGGAGAGACCGATAAGATAACGGTCATATCGTTGCAAGAGTAGTAATGAAACATTCGCGAGTGTCAATTGATGTTATTTCTAACCGATAAACTTGGTTTTTGTCGCACCGCGCAGGAAAGATTTTGGGAACGGACGATCCGGGCGGCAGCAAGGGGCTGTTGAAGTGGAAAGGCGTAATGTTCGCTCCAAACGACGAGGATCAAGACGCCGAGCACGACCGGGAAGAGGCTGGGAGAGATACCACGGATTCGGTCGCTCCCATCGAAGACGTTGAACAAGGCAGTGAGGTTGGTCTCCCGACTTCACATTTCCATAATGAAGCTTCATTTCGATCAAATTGGATTTTCATTAACACCAACTAAAAGTATAAACATGTAATATTATGATTCCCTACTGAAAAAAATCACGTCACAAAGTTACGTAACGATATCATGTAATTAAAACAAGTAAATCACATAACGGATTGTTCCAAATCAGTACGATTTTTTTAAATGACGTACTTTAAAAATCACGTACTGATTTGGAATAATCCGTTACGTGATTTACATATTTTAATTACATGATTTCGTTAATTTGTAACTTTGTGACGTGATTTTTTTCAGTAGGGTTTCATACTGAACAATATGAATAAATGTAATATAATATGTGCAGCGTTACACACATTTCTTCTTTTATTGGCCTCGCCGATTTCATCGATAGCGATCTGGCCCAATTACATTGTTAAGTATGAAACTATAACATTAATATTATTTTACTTTTATTTGGTGTTTACTGGGTTATAATCTAATGAGATGCTAATTTTACGATAAAACGGTGATCTTAACGACGATTTTGTTGAAACTCAAACAATCAATTTTATATCTAATAAATGCTTTGTTGTTTAATTAATTTCGATGTTGAAATGTGTGGTTATTGAGAACGAAAGAACGTCGCGTCGCAATGTTGCGCAATCTGCTCTTATTGCAGGTGTTCATGGTGGAGCTGACGCGTGGGTGGAATAGCCGACTGGGCTTTAGCTTGCAGCCGGAAGGAAATCGTACAGTGATATCGGTTGTGCATCGCGACAGTGTCGCGGCCAAGGATGGCAGACTTAAACAAGGCGACGTATTACTGATGGTGAGTCTTGCACAAGTCTACACAGCACGTTTTATCCAAAGGACGTCTTAAAAAAAAATTTTCTAGGATGTAGAACGTCTTCTGGATGTCTGTAAGACGTATAGACTACTTTTGAAAATCTGCGCTGCATGGGACAGCACTTCCTTCATTTTTTCCAATTTCCTCCATAGATTGTATTTCATGAGATCATTATTGAACATATAAATATTTTGGCGACAAATAATATATAACTATGATAATTTAAAACCTTGATCATAAAAAATACAATATTTATATTCTTAATAAACAGTATTATAAATATAAATAACTTTAAATATATATATATATATAGAGATTGAAGGGATTAATATAGAAAGGATTCCTTCGACACTTTTATTTTAAAATTAAAATACTTCTCTTTTTCCAGGTTAATGAGGAGAGTGTGGAACATATGTCAACAGCTGATATAATAGATCTATTGCGCAAGATACGCGGCTCGATAGGCATCACAGTGATGAGGAAATCCAAACGGAGTAATGTAACGTGATACTAGTCTAGTGCGTGATAAAAATAGAAAAATCGAAAAAAAGACGATCTGATCGATATTGTTCCTGATCAATAATGGCGAGTTTGATTCAGAAGTGAGTCCAGCGTAAAGAAAGTTTTGCTGGGAAAAGACGCTGATTTTTCTCAATAAAGTTCATTAAGCTTTGGATAATGAGATGGTAGAAATAAGTAGAAAAGCACAGGGATTATTGCAAATAAATAGAAATTATAAGAGAAGAAAGTACAATAAGAGGTATTATGAATTGACGGATCCTCAACATCAGAAGAAAGAATGAACTCGCCACGATCAACGATGAAGATTATCCACGGAGTAGCATTTTCACAAGATAATATCGCTCTGTGAAAGACAGCGTGGAGACGCTTCCGATAGCAAAAAGGGGTCGTCTTCGATCGATTACAAAAGACTGCCGTCGAGAAATATTCGCAGATGCCATCCAGATAATATCCCTGACGAATTTCTGGAGATAGTCACTTGTTCTTGCGAGATTCTCTGAAAGGAAACTAAACGTCAGAAATATAAGATTAAAGTGTCCTGGGGCGTTGCACTGAATTCTTGATTTCGATTTCGCGCGCGAATTAATCAATCTCTCGTTACGTTCTCCGCAATATTATTTACAATTACTATTGCACTGGAATAATTATAGTAACGTAGTTATAATACAATTCATCTCGAAAGAACGTTCAACACGCCGACCGTGATAGATTGCGCATTAATTGTAGGATAATCGAAATACCGTCCCACAAGTTCGAATCTCTTCGATCTCCAATTATCGGCGCCTATCAATAGTATTCCTGATCATTTATGGTAATATTAACAAAAAGTGACATCCTCTTATGATTAATGCGTATTCCTCCAATGAATTCGAGAATCAAAAAGGATCAATCAAAATACGACTAGAGAGAAATGTTATTGCAAAACGAAATGTAATCAGTCGAACCACAAATTATCGATTATCCATCGAGAGAAACGATTTAAAGCTTTTTTATGAAACTGCGATATACATATGTTGTACTATAATTGTAAAAATAGAAGAAAAACTCATTTGGGAGCTTGTAGTATGTATCTTACTACATATCTTTGTAAATCATGCCTATTCCACCAATGCTTTAAGAAAAAAAATACAGAAATTCACGAAAGATAGAAAATTAAATAGTGGAAATATCTATAAATGAATTTGACGGTAATAACATAATGTACAGATAGATTTTTATAGTGTTATTTTATGATTTAATAAATTATTTTGCATTAATTTGATTGCGCTTCGTTTTATGCGCTGACTCCTAATAGTCCTCGTTATCGGTAATAACATACTTTTTATTTTTCCCTGATATACTTAAAATGGTTCAACTTAAAACTAAAATTAAAATTAGATTTCATATTTTTCCGAAGGCATGGCAATTTTTTCGATTCCTTCTAAAATAGAACTGCGCTATTATGCAGGATACCGTGTAAATATTGTATTTTTATCCGACAACTTTATCGAAAGAGCTTGACGTCTACTACCGCAAATTCATATGAATAAAAAATGATTATCATGAAAATTTTACATGAAATAAATTCATCGTGAAACAGCTAACTTACATTTCAGCTTTAATTTCGTTCATTAATGATTAAACGAAAATTTACAATAATCAATAATCGTAATTAAATCGTGTGATAAAAAAAACTCGACGGTTTCCTTATTCGAGTGGAAAAGATAATCTATTTTCAGGATTTTCCCTTTAACTGATCAAATAAATTTATAAATAAAATAATAAATTTAACTGAAGTTAGAAGTAAATAGTAGACAATTGGCCTTTTTCGCGACGAAGAGTCTATTCGTCGTAATAACTTCTTTGAGGGTACTATCTCTGGTCTCTTAGCGAATCAAAAGACAATCTATAGTAAGCGCCAAGAACGAATGAGTCGTGAATGAGAGTTGCTAATGAATCTAACGATAAATGAATTGTGACTATTGCTTATAAGATGTCTCACGCATCTAATATGTCGATTTTCCCCGGAAAAATCGACAGATAACTACGCACGGAATAAAAGTTAGAATTGCTTGTAGCGTGTACAATACTTGAGGGATGTATCAACGTTCGAGTAACTACCTCGCGTGATGCCATACTACAGTGGAACAGAAACTATTATTAACTGCGTGAACCTGTTTAAAGAAAAAGCTATTTTATGCCCGAAAACATCTATTTCCTAATCTTATGCATATGTATCCTTAATCATGTAATGTCAGAAGATTGTAAGAGAGATAATTCATCATTCTGTTAAAGTTTAGTTAAACAGTTAATGAAATATTAGATACGAGAGTTAAAGGCAGAAGCTTGTTAAAATACATGAGAATCATTTACATTTACATTATTACATCAATGATGCGCTTCCCGAGCCGTAGACAAATTTTCGTTCCTGCGATAATGACGCACTTCGCATACAAGCGAGGAAAGAAGTGTCGGCACGGTATAAGTAAAAGTTAACGGTCTGTAACAGTGCAATAACGTTAAGTAAGAATTAGAACGAGAACAATATGTAATGAATGTGATAGTCGTTCCGTTTAGAATTTTAGAACGTTAGTGCTGTAAATCTACGAACTAGACGAGTTAGTGTGCGAATTGCACGGATATGTACATAAAGTTAATTGTAAAATTGTATAAATCGATACCAAAGTTGTATTAATATCAAAGTTGTGTAATATCAAAGACGAATATTTTACTGTATAACCAATTGTTAGAGACGGGCAGCTATATTTTGACATTACGTTAAGCTTATTAAATTATTGTTAGTATCTATGAATATACATTCGAGATATACAAGTTTTATCGAAATTTGCGTCAATCGTTCTACCGTTTAGGCTCTCTTTCCTGTTTGGTATAGTATAATATACACATATATATATATATTCAATAAAATTTAATTGTTTCTTTGATAAAGATTTTGGTTCCTTTCCTATCAAGAACATTGAAATAACATAACAAGGTATTAGACTCTATAAGATGGAGAGATATTACAAATATATTAAATTCTCACACATCTTTTATTCTATTTTATTACAATTTTTATCAATTAAGTCGTAATTAATACAAAAAGAAATATTTATATAATCAAGATTATCCAAAATATATTAAATATTTAAAAAAGTAGGTCGGAATAATCTTGAAATTTCTTAGAAAAAATCGATTAACAATATATTACTATACATAATTATAAAATATGCTACACATAACAAAGGAAGATATTCAGTAAACATAATTTGCGGTTTATTTTTTTAAACTCGTTTTTATTCTCGTATCTTAAAAATAAATGTGCATTTCTGTTTTATATCAAAGGCACTACAAATAAAAAAATATATACATCAATTGAATATGTATCTGCAAAAGATTACTTAATCTAACATTTCTTATTTTGACATTTTATAATGCTAACACGATATATAAAAATTTATCTCCATTTAATTATTTTAATTCAATGATTTAACTTATGTTATTAATTTTCAGGTTGATTTATTATACGTTATTAATTTTCTTATATCAATTTTTAATTATTTTATTTCTCAATCTAACAGATTTTTTCGTAAAATTGCGTACATTATTCGTACGAATTACCTGCGACTCTTCCTTCTCACTTTGTGATCTTTCTTCATCCCGCGCAGTTTCGCCGAAATTTTCGTTATTAAATCCTTTAGCTTCACTAAGTCCAAACCGGAGAGACTTTTTAACATTCATTATTCTATCTGCAATCTTTTCCTCGTCGCTTAATGCGAATGCCATTTCGCGTTCTCGTTTTCTAGGAGTCCAAGTTGTTAAATCTTTATCCAATGCCTTCATGTTTTCTTTTTCGGATTTCGTGCCAATAGCATACTCTTCCATCGCTTCATTTAATTGCTCGTGATTTGATCTTTCTATAAAAATAAAAATTCTTTCAATGATTCTAATGCAGAGGAACAACTGTAAAAAGAAAAATAACTTTTATTTACATTTTTTTATATATTAAGAATTATTTACCGTAATTATCCTCAACATCAATATTGTTATCGTCTTCTACAATTGAGTCTATATTTTCGTTGCGTAATTCTTTCTGCCACCTATCTCTAGATTCAGAATATGCAACATGTTTGTTTAAGCTATACTTTGTGCTACTTCTATTCCTGTTAGATAATCTCATTTGTTCTTCATTCTTTGTTTCCATATTAACAAGTTCAGAAATTGATTTTACAGTATTAATACCTATTTTATTCTTCAAAACATCACATTGTCTTGAATGGTTATTAAAAGTTATTTTTTCATGTATTAAAATACTTTCGGAAGACAATTCTTCGGTTTTTATATTTTCCATTTTTGTAGTAGGATTAAATGAATCTGGGCTAGTTATATTTGAACGATTTGAGATATGATTGAAAGCACATTGATCAGTGAAATTGTTAGGTGAGGTATCTAGTTCAATAGTTAGAAAATCCGTAGGGTATTTACTAGATTGCAAGGAATAAGACGTGTTTGAATTTGAATCTTCGATACAATTAGTAGAATTTAGCAACAGAAAATCACTTGTTTGACCATTTTCAAAAATTGAATCCTTTTCTGCAACACAATCATTACGTAAAATATCTGAATTTTCTTCGTTTAATATGCCGCGCTTAATAGAAATTTTTTGTGGATCGTCATGTTTTATTTTTACAATTAATTTGTCAAAACTTTCCTTGTTTGTAGTCACTAAAAATAACAAAAAAATTGAAAGTTTATAACATTCATATTCCAAACATCTGCAAATAATTTACAGAGAATACTTACAATACTCTTTTCTCTTTTGTTCTACAATATTATCTTCAGTGTTTCTAGTGACATTTGAAAAAATATTCTGAAAAAATATAATATATTAAAACCTAGAAAAATTCTAAGTCAAATGTCAAGAACTCTGATATGTATAATAAATTGTATTTACATTTGATGATTTTTGTACTTTCTTCTCCAAATCCTCTTCTTCTTCACATTGCTTAATTAATTCCGATATAGGTCTTGGATATGTCTTATCACATTCTGCGTTATAAAGAACTGTATATCTCTGTAGTCTATTCGTTAATGCTTTTTTATCTCCTTGAGATGATAAGCCTAATTCTTTCAGTCTTTTTCGTATAATGTTATCTCTCATTAAACTATACACTAACTTTGGCAAAGGTTTACGTTTCGGTTCGCTTCTGAAAATAAGCAAGTATTTTAAGATTTAAAAAAACTATTAAGGCATTCTAGATGCTAGTAATTTTCTTTAAAAAACGAGAAAATAATTCAAGAGAATGCTTACTTTTTAAGTTGCTCCTTTGTATTTTCCCTCCTTAAACAATCATCTAAATGCCTATTTATATTATTTTGAGGCACTTCCACTTTGCACACTGGACAGGTAACCCTCTGACGATTTTCTTTCTTTTGAAAACCCTTTCTACTCTTCGGAGTAAACATTAGAGGAATCCTAGGATCTGCGCTAGTGCTAGGAGTAGATATATCTTGCTGATTATCCTTTTGTCTACGAGGTGTGGTATTACCAGCCGTGAGCATAGAATTATCCAAATGATGGTGTGATACATTGAGAATGTCTTGTTCCTTCTCACACTCAAAATTATTTGCCGAACATTCAACTCCAGAATTTTCATTCTTTACAGTAATTAATTTTTCATAACATTTCTTGTCATGTTTTTCTTTTAAACTTAAATATTGAATGATAATCTCATCCACGAGTTTGTTCTTTCTTAAATCTTTTTCAAAGATTTCCTCAAAACAAATTGGACATTGAGTCTTGTGATGCAGATACTTCCTAATACACAACGAACAATCTAAAAATATAAGACACAGAATGTACATGTGTAAAAAATAGTAGTAACAAGATTTCTTTATAGGAGCACTCACAACTATGGGAGCAGGAGGTTATTACACTAGTGTCCATGTATTCATAGCATATCCCACATTGCAATAACGCATCAATACGCTGCAATGACAAAAAAATTAAGTGCTGTTCATTTCACATCTCCTCTATCATCTTTTCATTAATTAAAATCACTTTTTTGATACCTTTAACTCAATGTATTCTGTCGACCACATTGTTAATTGCGCGAGTTTGGAGTTTTAAGATAAATAATTCAATGTCATTAAGTACCATCACTTTATATCACTTATACAATCCAAACTGTGATTATCATTAACAGACTCATATGGATCAGTAATACAACTATAAAGATTCATTTTGATTCATTTGAACGGATTGAGCCTACTTCATATATTCTCTTTTATGGCTCATGGCAGATGGCATTGGCAGTCATGAGTCATGACCATAGAGATATACTACTATCTCTATGGTCATGACACTGATTGGATGGCAGTGATGGAATTTCGAGTCTGCGGTTCAGGGGGTTTACGGGCACGTAGCGTTTTCCCTACTTTTTTCGCAATTGATTCTCGCACAATTATAATGAAATTAATAAGAATGTTATGGCCAGTAATGGCCGCAGCCACTGAAATGTGGCCGGGCACAGACTTTTGCATAAATGCATAACGCATAGTGCATAAGAGAATCAACCAATCAGAATTTTTCCTTTCCTTCCATTTCATGGAAAAGAGGAACTTTGATTGGATGCATTCAGAACGACAACCTCTAATCCAAGGATGCCAATTCCGGGACGGTTTACGACATCGCGACTAACGCCATCAGTCAGCGGCCTAGCGCGACCACTAGTCACACACACAAACAGATAATATAAACTATAAAAATATGTTGTTAAATAAAAATATAATTTTATTGACACTACTTTCATATGTATATGGATCATTTAAAGTATAAATATTAAAGACACTTTCAAATTAAATTAACTTTGCAGGAATACCGAAACAGAACGAAGAAGACCAAAAGACTGGTCGTTATACGATTAATAATTATTATAATAATTATTATTATGATTAAAATATTAATTTTTTAAAAATATAATGCATATTAATTTCATACTTCCTTTTGTGCATTAAGCATTACTTTTAGTCTATAATGATAAAAGCGAGAAGATACACAATAAAAATTCTTGCATAAAATTACTTTTTGACATGATTTATGCTACTGTGGATTAAAAAATGGGAGGGGTTTACTGTAATTACAATTTATTAAAAATTATGTCATCTAAAATGTTCTCTTGCCTCTCGATATACGCTCGAGCGGCCGAGAAAACATTTTCGGTCGCTTCACGCTCAGTGAAACGCTGTCGCTGTCTCGTTCGCTCTTAGCACGCCCGAATCCCCCACCGAAGCTGGCCGAAGCGAGAATGCGCTGAGCCGCACATGGACATAGACTCATGCTTGTGTGTGTGACTAGTGGTCGCGTTAGGCCGTCGACTGATGGCGTTGTCGCGATGTCGTAAACCGTCCCGAAATTGGCATCCTTGCTCTAATCTTGATCATACTCACATTTTTCTTGACTGTTTTTTTGCTGCTTTTGATGGACGACTGTTGATCGACCGAAATATTTCGCATTTACTCTTGTTAAAATAATTTTTGAATAAATAATGGGCATCGTGCGGTTAGTACATTCGTTCAGGAATAGAAAGGACACGCTGTCACGGTATTCGCATGCTGCACTATTCCGCGAATTGAAATCGAATCAAGACAAGAGGTTATATTTCACAGGTTCGTCATCAAATCCACCCTTGTAGGCGGTGTCGTTTACTACAGCGTTCGGCAAGGTCTGTGGTCCAAATCTGAAGACAGCGTACAGTTATACGGGAGGATCTACAATAATATCACACCTTACGTTAAAGACAACATACCTAAGGAAGTCATCAATGAAGTGAGCTCTATTGCAATTGACAAACATTCATTTAACATCCTTAGATTCCTTAAGCCTATTCTACAATCTGCTCTTTGTTTCCTGTTTCTTGCTGTTTGTCTCTTGCCTTTTGGTCAAAAAGGCAAGAGACAAACAACAAGAAACAGAAAACAAAGAGCACATTATAGAATGGCTATTTAGAGTTAAGAGTGCGTTTCACGCTCATACGATGTAAGCATCAGTTCATCCTTACTGTCTAGCAAGTATTATAAATAAGGACAAGTGATACTTATAAGCATTGTAAGCACGAAACGAAATGCATCCTAAAGCTCAATTTTTCATTATCTGGTTAACTTGTGGTTAAACTTTATGATAAACTTTATCTGATGTTTCAATGGGCTTCATCCATCATAGATGAAGTCTATTAGAATAAGCCTAACCACAAGTTAATCAGAAAATGAAAAATCAGGACCTCTATTCTTGAAAAGAAACGTATACAAAATTCTAGAAAAATACTATAGTATATATAACGTATACTGTGGTATTTCTCTAGACTTTTGTATACGTTTCTTTTCAAGAATAGGGGCTCAGGTCTAAATGTAACTGTTTGATTTTTAATAAATTTTGGCAACATTACCTTCTGGAGTAAAAATTACGGAGTTAAAATTAAATAAGTGAGCACATTCACTTCGTGTTGAGCATTGAAATTATTAATATTCTAGTATATCACTCTTGTAATTTTTACCTTGTTTTAAGAAACATAAGCCTTCTGAAGCCAAAATAACTTAGTACTAAATTCAATTGAATGCACTAAATTAACACAAAGATGTGTGTATTATATAGAAACGAATAAAATATATAATTTATTGTGCTGTCAAGTAAAACATATTTGATAATTAAAAATATTTACATTTATAATGAACATAAAGAAGATAAAGAAGAACGAATATTAAGTTTATTTTAATAACAATAATTCAAATTTGTAACGTAAAGAATATAATTGAACGGGTTTGATAGCAGCCTGTTAGCAGCTCCCGAGGGTTAAGATTTCATCATAGATGAAATTTTATTATTGTGAAGATCTTATAATAATAAATGATCAATTTTGCTTTGATATTAAAACTTGAACAGTCATATGTTCATTTGTACATGTGACCATATTATCAGCTTTCTGCTTTGCTATGAATTTTTTGTTTCAACATTTTTATAAGATTCATTTAAAAAAAGGAGATATTAAATTGTATAGCTACCACCGTTGCCAAGTACGAGTGACCTCTCCAATTCTCTCAAATCATCATGGAATAAGGGAGTCATAGCGAGCATTAAATTCCTGTCTGAGACTCCAACTCATGTGACTACTGGTGTGCAGAATATTTCAGAAATTATATGGGGTTACATAGAACAACAAAGCGTATCTGAGAAAAGTCAATAGCGTTTTCTAATTCTATATTGTGGATTTTAGGAGAATATAACATTATTAAATATCATTGAGCTGTTAGCTTTACTCCTGCTATGTTAATTTATATATCTATACACTATTAACGGCTCTTTATTGAGTTTTTCTTATTAATTTATTATATGTTCAATAAAAATTTTATTGTTAAATCAATTTTTTGCATTAATGACTTTGCATTAATAATTAAATACATATATCGACAAACAATTAATATTTATTATTAAATATTAATTCGACGACACTAATATCAATTTTTGCAACTACAATAATCAGTGATTTCGAGTTATTTATATATTAGTTTATAATGTAATATCATTTTTCAACACATGGAAATAATTAAGACAGAGTTCATGGTTTATGTACATGTATGAATGTTTATTCGTTCTCAAATGTTATACAAACTGTCGCCAACTATGGATCTCACTCGACATTTACACGTTTAAATAACATTAACGTAAGTTAACATAATAATTTATGTTAACTTACGTTAATTTATGTTAACTTATGTTAACAAAATTCCATTTCCTGAAATTTAAAGTGATGCTGATACGTCTGATTTCCAAGCTAATCAGATGGATACAAAAAGAAATATAAAAAGAGAAGGTTGAGAATGTGCAACTAAATGCGAATTCCATCATGAGTCACAGTACATACTGGTGATAGTATTATGTAATGTTACAATAATACTTCGTAATGCAATCATAGCAAATATGTCGTGTCTAGTATAAAAATAAAAGAAATGATAAGATAAAGATAAACGTGCGATAACGAGTCGAAGATGTATTCGCAAAAGCTCGTATATGTAATCTTAAATGCCGATACAAGGAATCTCGTGGCGTCAAAAATAAACTTTTTTTGTTTTTAACAACAATATAGTAATATCTCTCGTGAAGTCATCTAATATTTCAACGTACAAGAAATTGAGCTTCCTTGATCCTTCAACCGATTAGTTAGTTATGCAGGCCCTGCCTGTTCTTCATCCTCAGAAATGGACCCAACTCGGTAACTCTCAATTTTTGCAAATTTATCTCAACTTAATTTTTTTGAAATTTACAATTTTCTTGTATATATACCTTGTTGGAAAAAGGATTACGATCATTCATCGATTAAAGGATCAAGACTTGATACAAACGCGCGAAGTTCAAACTCTTCAATTTTAATTCTTTTAAAAACTTATTTAAGTACGCGCTTATATATATAACATATACCTATCTCCCATATATATATTTGTATAATTCTTTTTTTTTGTAAATTTAACGGGTGACTGTGGAACAAGGTCCACTAGCACGATGCACAGCTCGCAAAATACGGCTCACTTTCTAGGCTGCTGAATGATAATGGGACGCGAACAATGCGCCGGTCGTGCGTCATGAGTCGGTATGGGTTTCTCGTGGAAATGTTGCACAGCTTCTGGTGGAAAATCTGCGTTTCCTTTGGCCGGAGCGCCGCTGATCATTATTGTCTTTGGCGGACTGCAAACGTTAGAAATTCTCTTCTTATTTTCTATATACGATTAGAAGATAAGATAATACCGAATTGTAAAAACTTTACGTTGCTTTTTACAATATCTTGACACTAGAACTGCCGATGGTATTCCGCTAGAGTAGTCAAAAGTGCCAATTTGGTAATTTCTTATTCTTGTTTTCGGTTAGTAAAGAATTATTTTAATATTATTTGTATCATATTAGAATTATTAGAATTATATTCACATATTTACAATATTTTGTACGGTGTATGTAATATAAAAAGAAAAAAATTCAATTAACAGAGCCAAAATAGAAACCATCGGTAATTCTAATGTTTTAAAATTTATATATATAGAAGATACACTCAAAAACATTAATAGTAATTGAAAATAATGCTAGAATAGCCGACATGTCTTTGCAATATATATTTATATTTGGAGAAAAATATTGTTTTGTTTTCTCAATGTTTTGTTGCAAACAATAACGAATATAATGATGTATTGCAAGACATAAACTGCGACAATTTTATATCAGACGAATAAAGATATACTCATGCTGTGTTAAACAAACATTTCGAGCGATATGATGTATCATTATCGATTACAAATGATAATTAATATCAATGAACTTTATTTCAAAAACATGTTACATATTTTTCAATGCAAAAATGGAAGAAAATTATTTTTATTCATTACAAGCTCAGAAGAATTTTTTGAGATTCTACACGTCGTAGGTAATCGTCAAATTATATATAAATTCGTTTATTTTCATTTGGCACACTTCGCATAAATATAGTTTAACTCTCTCCGTGAAAATGTTTTGCAGATATAACTCACATTTATTTTTGATTGCACAACATTGTGTTATGTAAATGTGGAGTGCCGATAATCATTATTATCAGAATTGGAGTCGCGGAAGAATGGATTAAGCAACAAAATCACAATTTTTTATGTCTTGCAATTCTTTCATTTCGTCTAAGAATATAAAAAAGAAAAAAGAATCTAAGAATATAAAAAAGAAAAAGAACGGACGATGGATGTACCATATGTTTGATATACAGCGAGCTGAATAATACGTGGGAAGAATCGGTTTCGTAATGGCGGAGATCCAGGGGAATAATTATGCAAGTTATTAAAAATATGAGCAATAGCAATGTATAGTTACAAAGAATTTATAAATGCAATAAAAATTACAGTTATAAAAGAAATATGTGTCATTTATCAGCAACTGTTACATTGATTAATAGCAATATCTAAAAAATTGATCTAAATGTATAGATTCATACTGCTGTATTGGAAAGAAAACGTCATATTTAGCTTAAAATTATATATACAATATATATATTCATTAAAAATGAATGAAATTAAATTTTAAGTTTTAAAATTTTAAATCTCCACACACTTTCGAAAAGTCGCTATATTTTTTTAGTTTCTATGAGTTTGGTAATTTTTACATGTAATAGAAAACTGAGCTGAACAAAATGAGAAATTATTCCAAATCATTACACTATTTAAAAATTAGGAAAATGCCTCAGGATGACTAGCACCTATATGTTTCAGTTATGAATTAAATATCAGGTTGTTGAAAAATTCAACAATGTGAATTCTTCAATGTCATTAAATTTTTCATTCTCCATCCCTCCATCTACCTCCTTCAAAACCGATTCTGTGCAGCGAGCCACTGCGCCGCGACCGTCCTTCGATGCTGGAAAAAGCCGCTAATTATCAAATCAGTGTCGAAGGACAACTGTTTTAACATGTCACTGCGACAAACACGGTACACCGAGATCGTGATCTACTTCACCTGCTGGACGGCCTGCTCTCCTCGACGTCTTTGCTGGGCTTCGTCTCGCGCTCATCCTTCGGTGTCTTGTGCTGCGTTATCCTCATACCACCTGCCTTTACTGAAAAAAAGAGACAAAAGTCGCGCGAGAGACGCGCGACCCGGCATTAAGAGAACGAACTTCAGCGAAAGGCCGACCTTGGGAAATCTGATCGCGATCGACAGGTGGCACGTCACGGCTATGAGCCACGAACGCGAGCCCTAACCCATCTTCCCGCGTAGTTTCCGCAGGGCGAACGAGGAACGCGGAAGAGGAAAATCACTAACCTGCCGGGGGATGACCGCCCTTCAGCCTGCACTCGTCTCCGCTGCTTGACATCCCGTTGTCTTCTCGTCAATCAGAGCCTCGACTGAATTCCCGTCACAATATGTTACCAATTGCTGACACAACGCAATACACACTGATTCTCTCTCTCTCTCTTCCTCGCCACTCCGTTAGCGAATTAGCGATAGCATTCAACTCCACAGCTCCAACTCTCGAGTTCTGACGCGACGCCTTCGTGTGCGTCGCACTGCCGAATGCGAAAAGATACGAGAAGAAAGGGGGGAAAGGTTACCACACACATGTCGCTTTTATTTCTCTCGCGATGCCTTATCTTGAATATACGTTATACACGACGGCGGACATATGCACGACAAAACGATCTACGTATTAATATGAAAGAAATATAAACAAATTAATATAAATTCGTAGTCCATATCTATACTTAAATTTTCTTACTTTCATGTAAGTTTAAATTTACAGTATGTATTATTAAAATTAAAAGATAATATTTATTCAAAGTAATAAAAATATTTTGTAAAATATTCTTTACATTTTTATATTAAAATAATATACCTATAAATAGCAAATAGTAATAGTTTATCTAAATACATAATTATGATCCGCATGAAGAAGTCTTGCATTATGAACGGATAGACACATCACCGAATTTCGTACCAATATGTTTGCGGAAACACTGCGAGATGAGAGGGAAGTTTCTAATTATAATTTTTAATATTATTTTTTAACAATAATTTTCCTTTGTGTTCAACTCTAACATTGAGAAGGATCCGATATGGATCGAAACGTTTCATTGCCGGTATTTAGATTAAAGTTATTGTATGTTTATGTTATCTTTATTTTTATTCTTTAAATCTGATCACACGTATTAATCTTGGCTCGTAGCCCTATTACCTATTTATTTTTAATAGTCTATCTGATAATAAGATAGTAATTATCAAATGTAGTGTTGGAACAGATACCGTTTGAAAGGTATCTAGATATAGATATAAGTATTGTGTGGAAACAGTATTTAGATATAAGTATAGATACATTTTTTACAATTACCTAGGTATAGATACAGATATAAATAAAAAGTATCTGAAAATTTAGATATTTTTTAGGTACTTTCAACAAAAAAAAAAGGAAAAATGGAAGAAAAGACGAAAAGTAGAAGTAATATAAGCAACGCGCGTAAATTAAAAATATCATATTTTATTTGTTTATTTTAACAAAACCCAGACGATAACATTAAAGTCAGTTTCATTAATAGTTTTAAATGAAAATCGAGTATTATTTAGTTTTACATGCATATGCATGTCTACAAAACTGATAAATCATAAAATTAATTCTACGTTATCAATTTCTTACCCTTGATTACATAAATTTTTAGTTTTAATGAACAGCTTTAACCATAAGAATATCGGTCTTTAATTAGTATATCAGCGCATAGATACTAGTACTTGATTGTTAATTTCTGAGTTGATTTAATATGCTTTTCAACAAACGACACAGATGACACGGTATGATGCACAGTGTACCATTACATCCTTGTTGTTCGTCAATGTTAAACAAGGATGAGATGATCACTGTGTTATACTGTGTCGCTTGTAGGAAGGCAATCTTAATGGCGGCGACAGTATTTGTGTATAAATACCTTGTATCTATGTATCTAAAACTTAAAAGATACCGTATTAAAAAATAACTAGATATGGATATAGGTATCTCCGCCTATAAGAATCTAGGTAATGCACTTAGGTACAGCTAAAGTATCTAGATACTTTTACCTAGATACGTTCCAACACTGATTAAATGATTTTTTTAAATTATTCTTTGATTTTAATGTTCAATTATGAAACTTTGAATACTTGATTAATTTCGATTCAAAATTGAAAATCAAATTATATTAATATTGTTTTATATTCAATAAATGTACCAGTTAATGAACATGATCCAATTATTGGATGAAATAGCAAAAATTTTAAATTAAGCTTTCGAGGATACGTAAGACTGAATATATATAAATTTGTTGTTTATAGAAATTTAATAAGACGAATTAATTTAGAATTGCATATAAATTAAAAACTTAATACTTAAAATTTCTGTCATTTTGTTCAATAATTGGGTCATGTCCACTGATACATTTACCTTATTACGTGATTGTCCTGAATGTGGACAAACAGATGTTGCAATAATATTTGATAAAATTATACAATAGTAATGGAAGCGTTAAACTTATATGATGATTTATTATAAATTACACAAATAGAAATCATTTCGTTTTATTGCATAAACGATTAATACCTGCACATACAATGTATATTTAATAATTAAATCTAGGAAGTGCTCGCTGAAGGTTCTGCTTGTTTATCGGCATGGTATGCATAATACAAATCCTTGGAATCTTGATCCGAGATATGCACCCAGCCGGTTGATTTCATGTGATATACTGTTAAGTAAAATTATATATTAAAGCATTGCAGTATTGTATTTTTTTTTTACACTACGACATCTCTTACAATTATTTTATTACCAACCTCTTATGATACCGCCAGAATAGGCATCTCTATGTGTGGCATGATAGATCGCTCTTCTTCCAAGTTCATAAGCCTGTTCATCTGTCAAATCCCACCGGTAACCAGAATCTAGAACACCAAACGCGAACACAGATCCAGAACCGACGCTGAAAACCTTCCCTGGAGTACGAGTACCCTCAGAATCAACATAGTAAAGTCCAGGGCCACGCTTATCCCATCCAGCCAGCATCATACCTACAAGATTACACATATAAAGATCCTTGCACATCCTACATCATCTAATCTTTTACAGAATCAGAAGAATATCTTACCAATACTCAGTCCCATTCCTTTGAAATTATAAATCATGTTTGACAAGAGTTTACTTGCTGCTGCGATGGAGATGCGCTCTCTGTTTCTGAGTTCGTACATGCGGCATTGCCTTGCTAACACTCGATCCCAGTAGACGCAATCGGCAGCACCACCAGCCAGAGTACCAAGAAGATAATCATTGATCTCCACTATCTTCTTCATGGTGGACGAGCCTGAAGATCAAGAGTAGATTAATTTTTATCACAAATGCATACAATTTATCAGTTGAGATATGCAATGGACTTTACCAATAAACTGTCCTCCAGTCGCACGTGAATCCACTGCTAGAACGATGCCACCCTTATATTGGAAACCCAAAGTTGTGGTTCCATGGTCGAATTTGATTTTCAGACTCTTTCCAGTTTCATCAGTGCCTTGAACTATTTGGCCAAGAGTTTCAGCTGGCTGTAACATAAAAAAAATACATTTGAAAGATAAGTCATTTTATTTTCCAAGATAAAATGTTATTTTGAAATTTTAATGAAAGCATTCAAGTACAATAAAATATAATTCTGGAAAGTTTTATTTGCTATTAATTTGAAGTATGATTTTGTCCTAACTAATTTAGAGTGTTTTCCAGCAACGACATTGTGTAACGCGTGTATGATTAACTATAAATCAACTGTATTACTGTGTATTACTGTGTACTGTGTATATATTGCTGGAAAGCACCCTTGAAGAATGATTTTCGTCCTAATTACACATAAGAATAATCTAAAAATAATTGGTTGTGTATTGAAAGAGAATCGTAAAAGAAATTCAAAGAATTTAATTACTATCGATATCAGTATCGTTATTAATAATTGCTGCGACGTGATAACGATTGTCCACGTTAATTTCACAAATTTTAAGTGTAATTTCCGTGTCGCGAAATATGTGTGATTTGCATGATGCTGCAAATTTGGCTCATGATCGTCGTTGCGTGCTTACGTTTACGAACGGCGGCATCGCCAGGTGAAGGTTGTTGGTGAAATTTCTGGTATACGTCTTTACTTCATTTACGACCTTATCATTTTCTCGCGAATAGCCAAAATCAATAGAAGACTGAATGCCACAAACATCGGCGAGCGCCATTTTTACTCGAATGTTGACCGTCGACTGCTTGACTGCTTGTCATCCGTTCAGTCATCGCCATCTCAATTCCGTCTATTTCCAATAGAGAGTGCTTGCATCAGCGCGCTCGAGAATCAAGTAGAAATTGAATATTTTGCCAAAAATCCGCACGAGTGCGGAATGCTGGTTCTTTCCAAACAGGTCTTTTTACGATCGAGTTGTACGAATTTGCTAAGACCACATTTAAGAATGTTAGCAATGTAGATATTTTTCTTTGCACCTATATAAAACTGTTAGAAATATGAAAATTTGTACTTATTTTTATTTTTTATAGATAATAATTGTAAATCAAACAATATTACATATTGCGGAATGAATGATTACAGCAGGGAAAATTAATCAGTCATACAAATTCTTAAAAAAATTACTATTTCGAATTTTATAAAAGGGCATTCAGATTCCTATCTGGGTGCTCCTCGGGTGTCATGTCATCTTTGTTGTTTAATAAACGTTAAACAAGGATGACATGATATCCGAGGAGCACCCAGATGAGAACCACGCTTCAGGATATTTAAAGGATAAAAAAGAGTGTAAAAATTTTTGAAGATTTCTACATTTATCAAATTCTATTCAATCAAATCATGACATTAAATATTTTTATGTATTTTTGTGGTTTGTTGAGTTTGCTGGGGTGTGTATTATACGTATAATTTACGAAAGAGTACGCTCGTTACCGTAAGGATATATACAGGGTGTATTTGAAATAACGTACACTAATCATACAGTGCAATTCCTAATAAAAAACTGAGTCGAAAAGTCCTCTACCATTTTGCAATTTTCGCAATAGTTAACAAGATATTAATTACTAAAAATCGCTGTGAATATTTGTTTTCAATAATTTTTTACTCAAATACTATCAACTTTACAGAAAAACTGCAACAGACAAAAATCATTTATTTTCTTCTCATACAACTCTAAGGCCGGTATTCATAGTCGGATCTTATATTCAAAACTGTCTTAAGTACAGTCTTAAGATGTCACGAACCAATCACAGGGCCGCATTAGTGTCTTAAGACATTACTTAAGACGGTCTTGAAATAAGAATCGACTATGAATACCGGCCTAAGAATTTTTTATCAACTTTTTAGTATTGGATTTTCTTATTTTTACCAACATGCGAAAATACGGTATTAAAAAATTCTGAAAAAATTCTCATAACTTTATAAGAAGAAAATAAACAATTTTTATCTGTAGCAGTTTTTTTGTAAAGTTGATAATATTTGAGTAAAAAATTATTGAAAACCAATTCAGCGATTTTTTGTAATTAAT